GATGAAAAGCTAAAATTACAATTAAAAGTAAACTTCAATGCACCCCCATGGGCCATGCCTGGTATGAGCCGTGTGCTTGATAACAAAAGTTGTGTTAATTTACCAGCATTGTTGAATCGTTTGGACTTTTAATATGTATTTTCAGGCCTTTGATCAACATCTCAACATGATCTTGAGTGAGGTTGAGGAGACGATTACAACTGTTGAAATAGACGAAGAAACTTTTGAAGAACTTTTCAAGGTAAGGTACACACAGTAAAAACATTTACAGCTGCACTGTCATCATTCTGGACAAGGGTCTAATTTTTAGCACAATAGTCTATCTGGGAATTAGGCATAAAGGTAAAGTCTGCACATGAGCCAGGTGGCCCATCAGGCCGGCACTTATGTCTGGTTTCAGTTGCACAAAGTGACTAGAAGTATTTCTACTCCTCCCTGGATGTCTGAATGCGATGTCAGTCCATCGCAGGGTTACCTCCCAGCATTATACACCTGGGTGGAGAGAGGCACTGTGAGAGTAAAGTGACCTGCTCAAGAACACAACATATGTGATGTCCCTTACCAGGGCCCCGTTTCTCGAAGGTCCCGAAACGTTTTCGCACCCGGAAAGCCAAAGCAAAATCTCAAACAGAGCTGTTTTATTCACATATTCTTAATATGAACAGAGGTTCTCTTCATACAAGAAATTTCAGGCATACACACCTCACTGTTTTTAGATACAGATGAACTAAAAATGGCTTTGCAGGCCGGAAAAGTTTCCGGGACTTTAAAGAAACGGGCCCTAGGGCTCGAACCCAGACCTACGAGTGCACTAGCCATGAGGACATCGTGCCTCCGTCGCTACAGGTATAATGCCGGCGTAGTAGTTTGTAGCAGAATCAGATCAACTTCAGCAAATGTTTCCTTCTTTTGTTTGCTATGGAGACAGTTACAGGAAACAGTGTTGTCTCTCTTCTGCGAGCAAGTTACATGTATGTGTAGGTTATTATGATACGTAGAGAGAAACATCTATTTACTACACTGTGTTCCACTTGTTTGTCAACAGACCACCAAGAGAAGCATACCAATGCTGTTTGTAAGAGGAGATGGTGTCATCTTAGTCTCACCGCCATTACGAGTTGGACTTTAAAATAGTCAACGACATATTAATCAGCAAAGGTGGAAGTAAACAAGCTGTTATTAGGAAAAGCTGTATTTATTGTTTTTTGATACTCACTTTTTCTTTTCAAAGAAAAAACTGAAATAAAAGAAGTTTGCGAAAGCAAGAATTTACAGATTTGAGATACATCAATTTTCCTCAAACTCATTAATAAATTCATTAATTTTAAAGAAAGGAAATCATGGCCTCTTCGCCTACGCGAGAGCCTTCTCGGGCCGCCATTTTAATGCCACGCAACTCATAAACTTTGGAAATTCGAACATCCTCTATAACAAAGTGAGGAACCCTGTCGGGCTTAAACGGCGTAAAATGTCAAGTTCTTAGAGGTTCTTTAAATACAGAAAAAATGCAAAGGCTCCGAGGCAAATTACTTTATCGGGATTTTTTTCATTGATTTAATATTTTAATTTAAATCCTCGTTACGCTATGCATCGATTTTGTTTCATTTCTAAAAGGTCAGATTTTGAGAGGATTTTAAAGTATTGAAAAGTTCGTAATTTTCTGAAAAAAGTATGATTTCGAAAAAGGAATTCATAGCTATGTTTCCAACATTGGCTTTAATCGAAATTCGTTGAAAAAGGCTGGATTTAAGGAAAAACCGCGTTTCCTTTAGCATTTAAAGAAACCGGAAGTGCACCCGATATCTATTGAAAGTTACCCTATCAGCGGGTGCGCAGTTTACACTACCAGCGCACTTCGGTAAGATCAAACAAAGCCACACGGAGTTAGTTTTCCTCTTTCTATTGCTCTTGTTTTTCTGTCTTTCTCTTATTTTGTCTTTGCTTGCACTTTTTTTACTTTACATTTTGTGAAACACAAAGAAAAACATCTAAAATGTAAGCGAATTTGGAAGTTATTGACTTGTTGTTACTTTCCGCGCTCAGGCTGACGTAAGTAACCGGAAGTGAAAATTCACCTCCTTAGCAACGCGCGCGAGCGCGCGCATAAATCGGTTAATGGGCCCTTAATTGTACTATTCGCGCGAGTAATTTCAAAATCTTGACTTTCAGAGATGAATGAACGAAACGAGAGTTCGGGAAATCGTTTCGAATGCTAACGGCAGGACCATCCCAATTTCCTCCAAGAAAATTCTGTTACCGACCGATCACAAGGTATTGTATGACTGAGTCATTTCGTTCCGTGTCTGTGGTTTGGACAGTCAAAATAAAATCTCCCTCGCGCACAGTACGTTGACAGGGGGTACTTACCATTTACATGGGAAAACCGGAAATTCCAGTGAGAAAATCAGATGATTTGCGCCATTCCGTTTGGGAAGCTTTGGAAAATATGGGCTGTGATTTGAGTTGATGCTATTTTTCTGCTCTTTTTAATTCTCTCTAGCTGATGTGGATATACTTTATAGCGATTCCCTCTCCCATAATATTGCAGTTTAATTGTTTAATGTTTATACCTGAAATTTCCAACCGGATTGTTTTTGTAAATGGTAAGCACCCAAGTACTACAAGACAACAACTGGCGAGTAAGAACGCACGAAAGTGACTCGAGAGTTTACAGAATTTAACAATGACGCCATATTAAATTAATCAAGGAAATAGATATTGTCAATTCTTATCTACATACTTATTTAACTTAACGATTTTCCTTAATAATAGCGTTGTCCGACTACAATTATTAGTTAAAATTGTTTCCTCAAAAATCTTCCATTTCTCTTTAAACAAATTCGTTTTATTCCATTTGAAATATATCTGTTTGACTCAAGAGTTGCTCTTCGCTGATTGGGCACAATAATACAAAGGATTTTTTGTACCCAATCAGGAACTGGCATTCGCGGAGTCGTTTGGAAATGGTTCAGTAAAGGCTAGCCCACACTAGCGACACAAGCATAAGCATAAGCATAAGCATAAAAGAAGCTTATGCGCTAGTGAGGAGGGCCATGACATAAGCATAAGATATCAAGACCTTGCATTCTTGTTATGCTTATGCTTATGTCGTTATTGTGTTCAGTGAGTACACGTTTCCATAAGCATAAGCGTAAGACTATGAGCCAATCAGCGAGCACTATATGCTTTTGTCAACGATGTCCTCACTGAAGACAAGCATAAGCATAAGAAGAAAGCTTACGCTTATGCCTATGTCGTAGCTGTCCTCACTAGGACATAAGCTTCTTATGCGTATGTTTATGCTTATGTGTGCGTCGCAAGTGAGGACCGACCTTTGGCTGGGTACCCAGGGGCTTCTTCGCCCGTTCTTAAAACTTTTTTCGCGCGATTTCGCCTGCCCGTGACTGACTGCCCCTGTGTCTCCGAGAATGGGTCATATAAAGTTAATGCCAATTACAAACGTAGTTATAATTGTAATGTAAAATACCAATTTTTTCAATAAACAAAACCTGCTTACTTTATCCTCTTTTTTGTCTACATTATACTTACAAGCAGAGTCTGTTCGCTTGTTAGACACTTTGTTTGGAGAATGAGGCATCAAATGAGGGATGGGCAATGTGTTTAAAGGTAAAAAATACTGGATCATTGAATCATGCAATTTGGGAGTTCCGACTGGCTTAGTGGCGATGGGATATCAGGCATTATTAACTGGATCATTGTATAATGCAATTCCAGGTATGTGATTGGCTAAGCGTCCTCGGTATATGAGCCATTAAACTTTGCCCTAGAAATAGAGAACAATAAATTGCCTTCTATTTGTTCTTGCAGAGTGAAATCAGCAAGATCTGGCAGCATTTCCTGCATGAATTTTTTTTTTAATAAAGTAATTATCCCAACCGCGCTTATTGTTACTATGAGACGATTAAAGCCAACTCACCCACTAGATGCCTCGCTGGTTATCTATCATCCCACATCCAACGCGTGTTCGTGGAATTATGGCTAATTACACATCGACAAGAAACAGCAGCCATTAATTAAATCATGTTCTGGTCGCTATTGCAGACTCAATTCAGCAAGATCTAGCGGAATTTCATGGTTGCTTACACGAAAACAGTTTCACTCGCGAGTTGTTGGATTTGCTGGGTCATATATAGCCACTGCTAGAATCGCAGGTTTTCGTATGTTTACGAATGATAAAGTTTACATTTACACTTACAGTTTCTATCGGGAAAATTGTGCCAATAATTAATCAGCTGCTAGAATGTAACAATAATAAATAAATAAATAAATAAATAAATAAATAAATAAATAAATAAATAAATAAATAAGTTGATTAACTAATTAATGAAATTGGATACCGGGTTTCAATTTCCTGCAAGAGAGAATTTCATGACCCTGTAGTTCCCCACTATTCCCTGTTCCAATTATTCCTTTCCTTTCAGCATTCGGCCCAATCTCCTTTCATTTGCATTCGAAATCGAGGCTGGAGAGGCCATGCAGGTAATAACATGGGGGACTTATCCGAACCCATGACAGCTGCAGACCCTTCACGGCATCGTCAGGAGCTTACCGAGCGTCTAGATACCCTGAGAAGAAACGATAGTTTCTGTGATGTGACAATCGCAGTAAAAGGCGAAGAGTTCAAAGCTCACAAAGATGTACTTGCCGCATCAAGCCCGTTCTTTCTTTCACTTCTGGAAAGTGGCATGAGAGAGAGTACCGAACAGTTGATTAGAATAGAGCTTGAAGAAGCTACTGCGGCTGTTATGGAAGGAGTACTAAAGTACATTTATACAGGAAATGTTTTAGTTACAGGGGAAAGTGGTCATAATTTGATTGCAACTGCAGATTATCTTCTGCTACCAGGCTTGAAAACAGTGGCTGGTAATTTCACAAAAGATACTGTGACTATCGAGAACTGTGTTTTCAATTATTATTTTGCCATCAAGTATCAGTGCCCAGAACTAAGGCAAAAGTCAAGTGATTTGATCCGCTCAAACTTTAGTGTTGTCATGGAGACAGATGATTTTTTGAACCTTGAAACAAATCAAGTCATGGAATGGGTGTCTAGTAATGACGTCATTGTCAAAGATGAAGAGGACATTTTTAAGGGAATAGTGAAGTGGGTGAACCACAACAAGACTGAAAGAGAGAGAAGCTTTCCTGACTTGTTTCAGGAAGTTCGCTTGTTATCATTGTCTCACAAATTTCTATTTAATGAGTTGGTGAAAGATGAACTTGTGAGAAACAGTAATGAGTGTTTAAACTTTGTGCTGGCTGGCATGAAAGGGATTGTCCTTCCCTCTGACTCAGAATGTGTTCCCAAGTCTGCAAGGAAATGTCTTGAGACACACACTGATGTAATTTTTGTCACTGGTGGAATTATGTCGTTTTGTTATGTTCCTTCTGAAGACATATGGTACCAGTTGGACGACATGATATTTGACCATAAAGATCATGGTGTCATACAATTTGGAGACAAAGTTTTTATTTTCAGCCCAAATAATGCAAAGCATAGGGAAAATATTGATAACGTAACTGAATATTATAGTTCTTCTTCCAATTCCTGGGGAGCAATAAGTCATTCAGTGTCTTGTTTTAGAAGGGGGCTATCTAGTGTATTAAAACTGAATGACTGCATTTATATCTTAGAAGTAGATGATGTTACATACAAAGAAGACAGTATCCATCAATATTATCCTGAAGACAATTTTTGGGAGCTATTCTGGTTACCTTTAGATCGATGGGGAACTTGTGACGTTAGTGACGTGCAACACCTCTACATAATTGGCGGCACTAATTCCGGTGAAGCAATAAATGGAACTTGTTCAGTTGCTCGGTTTGGCCCAGAGGGCTTTGAAACAGTTGCAGGAATGAATGAAGCAAGACATAATGCTTTTGGAGCAGCCATGAATGGAAAGATCTATGTAGCAGGTGGACTGCAAAGGAAAGAGAGGGGATGTAAGGTACTTTGCACATGTGAGGTGTACAGTCCATCAACTGATGAATGGCAAGTGATTGCAAGTCTCAATGTGCCTCGTCATTCTACAAGCATGTTGTGTTTCAAGGGAGGTCTGTACATTGTTGGTGGCTTGAGGGATAACAAGAGATCAAGAGAGTTGTCAGTGGAAATGTTCTATGTTGAGGAAAATGAGTGGAAGAAGAAATCAAACATACCTGTGACCTGTGAACATGTGGGAGAAGATGGGAAAAAGCCACTGTACAAGGCTTGTTTCGCAAATCTTCATAGATCTGTGCTATCAGAACTTAACACATTAGAATCTAAAATAAGTCGTGATGCCGTAAGGGCACAAATGAGAGTATGGTTGCAAGGATTTAATTCCTGAGGTTTTCATCTCAAGTTTTTGAAAGCTTAAATTTAAGCTCAAGGCATGGTAAAGTCCATGTTAAAACCAAGGGGCAAAAAACTTTTACTCAAGTGATATTTAATTAGTTCATTTTAACGCTGGGTTATCTCAGTCGTGCTTTGAACAACTGGGCCCTTGAAAGATAAGCTGCAACATTTTGCAAATTTACAAAACAAAATTTTAGGGTGCAGTGCTAAGCCACCATCTTAAATTGCAGAATTACATTTGTTCTCAGTTGTCACATTTTGTTATGACATGTGTAGGCTAGGTGGTGTAGTGGTTAGCATGTTGGACTTTTGATCTGACAGTCAGATGCTCAGGGGGTTGTTGGTTCAAGCAAATTTGATGTCTGTATCGCTCTGTTGTTTCCTTAGTCAACAAAACTTTGCTTCTCATTGTCTCTCTCCTCCCGGTCAAGTGTATAATTAAGAAATAGAAAACATGTACCATGTTTCTATCAAGTTATAGAAACACTATTGGAAGTTTGGGGGAATGAGAAATGCTGTGGGAACACGAGCCATAGGCAAGTGCTTCCACAGCTTTTTCGAGTTCTCCCAAACTTTCGCAAGTGTTTCTATGAAACAATTACATTATGAGCTTGAGATTTCTATTGCGTGATAGTTGAGGAGGCCGAAGGCCAAATCAACTATTACCTCATAGAAATCGAGAGTGAATAATCTAATTGTTTTAGTAGAATTCTTACCAAAATTTACTTCAAATAACGGCTTCCAATTATTTATTGGCATATTATTAAACTTTGTGCCTGAAAAAGTTCGCTTGGATTGAATTGTCATTGGAAATTGAAGTTGTGTGCACACGCATCAGTTTTTTCAATAATTTCGACTTTCTCAAAAGTCAAGAAACCGTAAATGTCCTTCATTTAGACTTCTCAGGAATTTGATTATCCATTTGTATCAAAATTGTCCTCTAAAATTTTGGGAAAATACTGGATAGAAACATGGAGAACGTGTTTTCTATTTCTTTTAGTAAACACTGCAATGATAGAAAGGGAAACAACTTGTTTACTGTGATCATCAAAATGTAAATTCTCTTTGCTCTTGCCATCGTTACGTCAACAGCTTGTGCTAGTTCTGTGTTTCTGTCGAGTTTTAGTAGAATTCTACTAGTATACTAATGCAAATGCTGTAATCTGATTGGCTGAGGCATTGCACACTATCAGCCATTATAACATAACTAAAGCAAAGCGCGCGCTCTGATTGGTTAATTTAGTGTCTACTATTTGCCCATGGGTGTATGCTGCTGGTGTGTGTGCTAATGTTGACAAAGCAAATCTTTTGACAAACATTGTTTCCAAAGTAATGGCCGACGTTCCTCTGCCAGAAATGAGAAACTGCCTTCACAGTTGTCTGAAGATGAAACTTTATTGAGTTACTGGTGTACAGTCGGCTGTCATGAATGAATTTTCGCGCGCTTGTTTTCTCTTATCATGTAAGACTACACGAACATTTTTTTGTGATGTATCTCAATAAAAGGACTTCTGTTGTTCCAATGTCTCAATGTTATGTTATAAAACAAATGGTAAACGCCATAGCGTGCACTACTGAGTTATGGATGCACTTGGGAGGTTTGCTAAGCACTCAAGTCGCATGAGGCGATCGCCTCGTGCGACTCTTACGCTTCTTTCATGCTTAGCAACCTCCTGCGTGCATCCATAACTCAATAGTGCACGCTATGGCGTTTACCATTTGTTAATTAGTGTGTAGTGACTTGGTGTGGTTCACTAAATGGCAACGTTTCCTCGTTTCTCTGAAGTTTTGAAAGAACATTTAGAAACAAATGGATAATCAAATTCCTGAGAATAATAAAAGGAGGGCATTTACATTCAAAAATTTTTGAAAGAAACTGATAAGCTCACATACACAGCTGCAAATGTCAAATTCACAATTCAGTCTACGAATTCTCAAAAACGTGAAGTTCAATACTAAGATCAGAAGTAAGTAGAATCATTATTTGAAGCAAATTTCCATTAGAATTCTACTTAAACAATTGGATTATTCGCTCTTAATTTCTATGAGGTGATAGTTGATTTGGCCTTTGGCCTCATCAACTATCACCTCATAGAAATATCCAGCTCATAATGTAATTGTTAAATAGAAACACGATTTTGTAATTTTAACCAATTAGCGTGCATATTTTCTTACGGCTGTTTTCTAAATGGATATAGTGGCAAGGAAAACCCTGTGCTGGACGAGCATGCCTTTAGGGGGGGAAGTGGCAATTTTAATGTACTTGTTGCTATGTCATTCTATTGAAATCAAATTAATCTTTGGCCATTTGAGCCAAAAATATCTGGGCTGATATAACAATACTACCCTATTTGAACAAAATATATTCCATATTCCAATACCCGTTTTCAGAACCAGACTTCCGGACCAAGATGTGTAACGTGAAGTACCAGTTGATAGAATATTCATACCCCCACTATGAAGGGAATTTCACATAGGAACCCCCCTCCCCCATCCAAAAAAGTAGAGCCAAAATAAATAGAGCCATTTTGTTCAAACATTTAAGAGATGGCTGATTATGTCATGAAAACTACATGTTTTCAGAGCCAGCCTTTCAAGCCAATATATTTTAACACCTGTTTTCTGAATCAACCTGTTATACCAAAATATCTGACATCACAATACTAGCCTTTCAGACCAAATATGGAGTAAAAATGGATAGTTTCATCCAGACTATGCCATTCAGAATTGTAACAACCTCTAACTTTAACATTTACAGTTCTTATGCCCAATAATTGTAAACACACTATTGTAACCCAGTCTTTAATAATCCACAGTATGCACTTCTGAACATTTGTAAATTTAATGCAATTTACATTTTCTGGTGCAAATATGTTGATCGTGGAGTGTCACAAGATAAACGTCTTTCTGGTTACCAGTAAATCCAATAATACTTCTCTAATGAATAATTGTCCAAAAAGAAAGTTAATAATTTTCGTCTTGAGGCTTTGTTGCTCACTCAAGTTTTTGTACACTTTCAGGCATTTATCCTTCAACGACCTTCAATGTACCATATGCCTTAAGTGATTCTTACTTAATGAGACCTCGCAGTGTTTAACATTCATTTAGTAGGTCAGCAGTGGAGCCTCAGGATTATGATAGTGATAGGATAGTGATGGAGTCAATAGGAAATCAAGTATTAAAATAAACACCTTCCAACACAGACCCAAATGTACCAGTAAAAAATTTGCAATGTAATAGACTCATTTCGATATATTAAAATAAAGTTTATAAATGAACGTAACAGGGCAAAAGCTGGAACTGAATGTTCATGTTTACTCATTTCAGTTGATTGTTTCCTCTAGACATACCTGTAACAACAGGAACTTTAACAAAGTTTCAAGCAACATGGACAACTCTTTTACCCTTGTTGGATAGTTGATTAAGCTTTGTTTTGTTGTTTTTTCTCTTGTTGCTCTTTAATATAATTAGACCGCTTTTTTAGTTCGGCCCTATAACTGTAATTTAAGGATTTGTCAATATTGTAATCAGTTTGTAATTAAAATAATTGTAATTGCTGTAAATAGGGCACAGTAAGCTTGCCTGTACTTGTATTGTGTATTGTATGGTATATTGTTTATTTCCAAAGAATGTGTATGAGTAAGTAGTGGTGTAAGTCTCGTAAGTAAGTGTAAGTTATTGCAAGTAAGTGTAAGGAAGTATTTCAAGTGTAAGCCAGTAGTGTTGCAAGTGTTGTAAGAAGGTGTAAGTGATTGAAAATTGAAACTCTATACATGTAAACAGACCGGTAAGTTAAATTTAAATATTTCAAAAGGAACCTTATATTTCTGCTATTTGTAAAAGTAAATCCATTTAAAATATTTTGAACAGTATATGTTGCATTTGGTACTTATCCCGAGAAAGGGGAACAAGGAAACGGATTTGCTAACGCACAGATAGCCCTGAGCTCATTCTCCAAACTTTACTATTAAAATAGTTTTATTGCTCTTTATGCCCCTCTGTAATGTTTTCCAAGGGGGTGTGGACAGCAGAAAGGATCCTTTCTGGTAAAATGACTGGTCTCGCAGGATAGAACTTTCAAGTCCTTCAAGTGAACTGATGCCTGTAGATTGCTTAGAAACTCCATCGTAACCCCGATAGGACTAGAACAAGAAGGCTGGGTTAAATGAAGAGTGACAGGAGTGTCTGGAAATCTCTGGCATCGCCATTTGCTATTTAACCATTAGGATTTTCCCACTAAACCACCTCTTGATGGAATATAATTAAAGACGGGGAGAAATGGAGTGAAGACAGCGCCAAAAGATGACTCTTTCAGAAGAACACCGGGATACTACAGGTTTTTATCCATGACTGCGTTTCACGCAAATTACAGTATTCTTAAAATCCAACTGAATTTCAACCTCTTCAAATAGTTTCTATCAAACTAAACTCAAACTTTTGTCCTCTAATTTCAATTGAAACCTTTCTGACCTCTACACTATAATGCTCCAAGAGCTAAGAGACGCGCCCTATTTATTTCAGCGTACGATATAAGGTCTGTTTTCACAGTGGATCTTATCGCTGGACTTCAACAGCACAGATCCTTTGTACAGGCCAGTGGCGGATCCAGACCTTGAGCTAAAGGGCGGGGTGAGGGGGGTGGGTCGGTTTTGTTTCGCTTGCCCTGCCGGCTTTTCTTCTTTCTGTGATTTCTTCTTCTTTTACCCAAACTAAGGGGGGCCGGGTCCCTCGCCACTGCAGGCTCTCATTAGTTCACCAGTTACTCTAGACGATAGCCTAAACAGGAACTTTGGTAAAAGCACTTGGGATGGCTTTGAACAGTAAGTCAACCCAATCTACAGGCGGCTTTGAGCCCCATATTGACCCAATCTTTTGAGGCTGTTACTGTGAACTATCCGGCGTTGTCTTTTTCCCCGCAGATGTGCTTTTCTCCCTGCTTGTTCCCGGCGTATCATCCGAGGTTGACTCTTCTTTACAGCCTATATGCTCTTCATCCTCTAAAGTCCAACTACGTTTCTTCACAGGCTCCACATCTCCTTCAACCTTGCTGCCCGTTGGACTCTTGATTTCGTAGTTAGTGCCCCCATCTCATAAAATCGGCATTATCTGATGTGTTCTTTTTCAAAGGTTGGCAATACACTTTAGAAACGCATCAGGGTGAATTACCCCTCAGGATCAGAGCTGTACCTGAAGGCTCAGTGGTTCCTCTTCAAAATGGTAGGAATTATTCCATACTATAAATCTAGAAAAGCCTCTAATTTTTACCATCATGATCTCTTCAATTATGTCAATGTGAAGATCTCTCCAGAAACTTTGCATATCCCCTCTCGTGAAAGGACCTTTTAGTTAATTTGTTCAAAGTACAGTGACAAGAAAGTGCTTGCTTCAGACTCGCATCGTGCGTCATTCAGCACACCCATGTGAAGGCTAAAAGTCCAGTTGGTCCTTGGCTGGGCTTAGTGTCGTCCGGAGCGCATGAAGTCTTAGGCCCAGTTCAGACATCGTGCTTCTGCCGTGCCGAACTAAATTCAGGAATTAAGTTCGACAAAAGCACG